TTCGTAACGGTTCGATTATACAAATAAAAACGAAGAATGGGCACGTGTAATCGTTGAGGAGTGCAAAAGTTGTGGATATAACGGGCCCCTAAGCGGGATGATCCGAGCAAGCAATAAATTCGATTTCGGTTTCAATTACATCAATTAGTCTAAACTTCAGTGTTTACGTTTAAAATAATTAATTTAAATCAAGACGATTAAATAAATAATGTGCTATTATACTTCGTGTGCCTATAAAGATATTTGTATTTATTAATTTATAAAAATTTGTTTGTTCTGCACTTAATTGCCCTAAAGGGCGTGAACAAACTATTAACCTATATGAAGCCGAGAAAAAAAGTTCGGCGAAAACACTAAAAGCAAGCAACCTTTAATGTTTTAACAGGCCATTTTTCAGCAAACGCCACTCGGTTTTGCTCTGTTTTTCGCGGCGCCCTCTCGTTCATGGCCTAACGCGATGCTCCATTTGCCCACGTCTGTCTTATATTAGGTCCTATTTTATTATTCCCAACCGTCTCTGCTCACCTGAACTCTACCACTTTGCGACGATCGCGCGGTATATCTTTTGCGGCATCGCTGATTGCCAACTATAAATTTACCGCGCGCATCGCGTTCATGTACACTTCCATTCACATCTACTTTCACGGAGTTTTTAATAAGCGCCACGTCGCACCGCAGCGGCCACAAGCAAAAGAAATCGAAATCCCTCGGAATGAAAGTCAGTTAAAGAATAATAAGGGAAGAAAAAAAACGGAGAATCCTCTGGAAAATTGCATTTTGATAAATCATTGAAACGATGGACGATTTATATTGTGCGAATAGAGCACGGCGGCAGGAAGGGGGTGTTTAATGGAAATAATGGCCGCGAGACGTTAGCCACTGAAAATAAAATATATTGTGCTTTTTGCCATTCGTCGGTCACAAAAAAAAAAAAAACCATTCTAATCGAACGCTTAATTTTAATTTTAATTGGTCGCACTTTGTGCAAAAAAAAAAAAAAAAAATATTCATTAAAAGTTTCAAATAGAAATACTAAAAAAAAAATTAAATGAGCGTAACGGCTATAAGTAATTTAAAGATTTAAATTTTTATGTGTTAAATTGTTGTTTAATTAAAATCTTATGTTTTTTAAAACAATCCGACCGTAATAATGTCGTTATTGTAATAAAATAAGCGTTAAGAAATTATAATATCTCAAGCTAATTTACCACTTGGTATCACTTAATAAGTTAGTTTGAACATTGCCGTTGCTAGTTTTAAAAAGCAATATTAACATAATTCAACGATTAGTGATTTATCTTTTTAAGTATCACTGTTTTTTTTTTTATAAATTACTATCAAAAAATGACTATAAAATCAGAGTAAAAAAAATGTATTTCACAATCGAGAAGTCGTCGTGATACAACGTTAAAAACGGAACATAAATTACAGAGATAGGCCGACGGTATTGTGCAATAACTAATATGGGTAATTTGTGAAGTTTTTTATGGTCATCACGTTTTGGTTAAAAATGGGCTGGAGGACAATTTTTGGGATCTACGGCGAACAAAAGTCGGATTGATAGACGCATAAAAGGAATTTAAATATAATAATAATAAAAAGATCCGAAAGCACAACAGGATATTTCATAGGTTTTTTTTTTTTTTAAAGAGGGGTTTTGAGCGAAATTTAAATGACACTCGCCAAAACGGAGCCCCATTAATCATTGGTAAAAGGTGCTCCACTCACCTGTCGACTGGCAAACAATTCAATGGAAAGAATATCACTAATGAGATCTTTTTTGTTTCGTTAAAAAAAAAACCGTTTAAAAAACAAGAGCACTGACGGTTATTTTTACATTAATCCTTTACGAACCGAACAGCGAGTGGGCCACAGTTAGATAAAAGTGTACACGATTAAAATGTCCTAATTTTTTAATGGCACTACCTTTGCGGTGTAAAAAACAACAACAATGCAGTATTTCTAATTTGCATGTAAAAAGCTGCTCGCAGTACATAATAATAGGAAAATAATTAAATATTTTTTAATAATAGTAATAGAAAACGAAAATGCATAAATTATCCATACCTCGTGCATAACCTAATCTTAAATGCATTGCACAGTATTACTTGTGTTCACCACCGTTGGTCTTAAATTAGGCCGTGTTTATTTAAATACAGCTTACAAATTTAAACACCGCGATAAAAAAAAATATAATTTAAAAGTTACTGTGACCTTTAAAGTTATTTTTGTTATAAAAACAGTATACGAAATACAGCAGCGGAAATGAGAAAACTTACATTTTCGAAAACTTTAATAAGAACGGCTTTTTCATTTAATTATTGTATAGTTTTTGCGATGATAAAAATAGTACTAATTTCTATACTAATTTGAAGGTATTCTTCTAAAATTTTGTTAAGTTTATTATAAACCTGTGTGCATGTAATATTTTTCACTGGCGTTGGAAAAATAACGTGTTTGGAATGCGAATGAGTTGACTGATTTTGTTTTGTTTGTATATCATACGCTACGGTTCACGTTTAATTAAAGAAATGTTGTGGACACTGGACGTAGAGTTTAAGAATTTAATTTATAACATGATAGTAAATATAATTGTATTTTGTTGACGTCCAACAAATACGGTCTATAACTACTTCTAAAGTGTAAGTAAACAATTTGTATTTTTAAATTGTAGGATAAAAAAATATGCGTCTTCGGATATTGTACGGATAGTTTTTGTTATTTTAATATTTTAATCCGAGTTCTACATTGCGCCTACTAGTGGCTCCGGGGGGACCTATTAGAAACTGCCGCCGTTACAGTGGAGATTTTAATCAAAATTTCCATATTTTTTTATTCATATATTTTTACACCACAGAATAATTGTATATAAGACAAAACAAATGTTTAGCAATCAACACTCCGTTGATTTGATGACATATAGATTGAGGTCCAACCAATATATTATTATAGTTTGGTTTATAGGAGATAAGAAAAATGGTATACGAAATTAACACGTTAGACGCGTCCAATGGAATATTGTTATCAAAGGTAAAAAATTATTAATTACCATAGGAATTACCATAATATATATATATGAATGATGTTTTGTATACAAGGGGTTGTATGAAAACAAGAGAGCGGGGGGAAAAGAGAAATAGTTTTCCACGCGATTACTTTTGAATTTTTTAGCTCCGGCTATCTTAATGCCTGCTTTTGCTGTTTATTTATGTACGTGCCTCGGTAAGAAATTAGAGGGAAGAAAGAAATAATAAAAACGAAATAGCCGAGCAAGAATATATAGGTGAGGTCGACAAAGAAGTTAAGAGGTATTGCGATGATAAGCAATCAAGTGTGTAGAAGGAACACGGAAACTGGCAAAAGGCCCAGTCAATTTTCAGCAAAAGGTAAAAGGCGCCGCCCGAATCATTTGTATGACATAAAAGGAAGAAATGAGAATGAAAAAAAAAAAAAAAAATACGGAGGAACAGAATAGTAAATAACTGTTTTTTTTCCGTTTCTTCAACGCGGAAACGCGCCAATATTGTTTGCCAGCGGGTGTGCTCAGGTGCTTATGAGTTACAGAACAACGTTGTTTCTAGATCCTTTTCCTAATTAAAGTTAATTACGACAAACTAGGTCAAACAAAGTTAACACTCATCTGACCAACACATATAATCGCTATTTACATTTAAAGCGGGTTTTTTGTGATAAATTCATTATGAAATAAAATTATTCCAAGCCGTGCTTTTTGACTGTGATTTTCATGTCCTTAATAAGATTTCAAAAAACGGATAACCTCCGAGAGAAAAAATATTTTTTACAGAAATGTAATTCTTGAATTTCACTTCGCATTTGTTGGCCAAGTATGGCACTTCGTATTTGTTATTCCAAGCGATACACATGAATCGAATAATGTCGGTAGACATATAATTAACTACTATAATAGCGGATATTTCATAACTCCCTAGTAGTTGTATTGTATTTTATTCTGGATATATATATATATATATATATATATATATACATAAAAAAAATCAACGACGATGGAAATGAAAAGTGTCCCACTGATATCTTTCACCCGGCGATGAAAAACGAGTCCCGCGGGAAATGCTCAGCGGGTATTAATTCGGGAACTAATGAAAAACACCGAAAACCTGAGAGGCGTCGGGAATAGCTACACCGAAAACTTTTTGCACAACAGCCGGGCTTAATTTCTTACACCGAGTTCTGGTGTCCCGTTATTTATTTTCGAGGACGTTTTTGGGGAGGAGGGCCAGCCGACGTGATTGTCGTTTTTAGTAGTTACTAGTCAGCGATATACCATTTACCATCAGTGTCTGTAAGTCTCAGACGTAAACGACCCAGTGCGAGAGGACGTGCATGCATGTGATGTATGCATAAACTTTGGTCACTAACTTTTGTAGGCCGTGTGGACACGGACAAACGCTGCGCTGTTGCGTTGTTTATCATCAAAACGAGGAATGCAAACCTCAAGGAGTTAGCAAAGCTAGTGAAATCACTGTTTTAATTTAAATTTTAGCATACTACATACAATATTATTTTATAGACATATTATGTACAGTACACAATGTCGTTGTGGAAATAAAGACGGATAGATATGAGAGTTATCGATTTAGAGACAACATCATAGGAACGCCTGTTCTTCAAACCAGTATTGTTGCAAAGTCGAAGTGAGTTGTAAAAAAAAATATTTCTATAACTCGGAATGCGCGAGGGTTGACGAGGGTCACTGTTAATTCAAGGTTTTGAACATGATTAATGATTTCGACAAAAACGCACTGGCCATTACGCGTTAATATTATTTGCCTCAATTAAAATATAAGATGTCATTTTCATGATATTTCGACAAAAATAACAATTTACCATCGCTATAATACTTGATATGAAAAAAAAAGTCTTTCTATCATATCAGTCACCAAGACTCGCTGCTGATTTATCGAATAAGCTCTGCAATCGTCAATAATAGCTATACATACATATTTTATTTATTTTCTTACCTTCGCTATCAATAGAGAAGTATCCAAGACCATCGCCGTCCACTATGGAGTAGCCGACCCTAGACGCGTCACCCGGGGGATCGCCGTCCGTGGCTGTAACCGTTGTCACTAGAGTACCGGGCGGCTCGTTTTCATCGACGAATGCTGTAGCATAAAAACTGCTGAACTCGGGCGTGTAAACGTTTTCGTTGACGTCGACTATTTCTACCGTCAACAAGGTCTCCGAAGACAAATACGGTAAACCACCATCGACCGCCTTGACGATCAAAGTGTGCACCTGTCTCTGTTCGTAATCCAATTTGGTTACCGTCCGGACGGTTCCAGATAACGGATCGATTTCAAATATCTTTTCATCGGCTTCTGAAGATGACGTTTCCGTTTCCAACGAATAAGTTATCCGTCCGCCTGAACCCAAATCGGGATCGACCGCAGTCACTATTGCCACTACACTTCCTACCGGTAAATCTTCCAACGCTTTGACAGTGTAATTTTGTACGAGAAATTGGGGCGCGTTATCGTTTACGTCACCGACAATAATTCGTATTAGCGCTTCAGTGTGCAACGTCAAAGGCTCTGGAGCTGAATCCGACGCCCTGACGGTCAGCTCGTACAGTTCTTGTCGTTCACGATCCAAACGTCCGGAGATATAAAGATTACCAGACGTTCTGTCGACAGAAAATTGCATGGTATCCGTCATCAACGAGTATACTACTTTACCGTTTTCACCCAAGTCCGGGTCTTTGGCGTTTATTTTAAATATTACAGTTCCGTTCCGAGCGTTTTCGCTCACTCGAAAACTCGACACTCTCTTGTCCACTTTGGGCGCGTTGTCGTTGACATCCAAAATGATCACTTTCAGCAACTTCCAGGTGGACCTCTGTGGTTTTCCCAAGTCGGAAACGGTGATGTTTAAAGTATACTCGTCCCTGGCCTCTCTGTCCAGATAACTGACTACGTTTAGATCGCCCGTGTCTGGTTCGATCCTAAATAGGGAGTCATCATCACCATCCGATACACCGTATACAAGCTTACCGTTATAACCGAGATCCCGATCTCTTGCTCGGATAGCCAGAACGGTGTAGCCTAGAGACACTGATTCGTTGACTTGTACGGCGGCCGGCAAGTGTATGAATTCGGGTTTGTGTACATTTTCTCCATACCGGCTGGGCATCATGGCGAATGCATCATCTTCACCGACGTTGTTCTTCTTGGCTGTCTCGATAGCTTCGTTCATCCTACGAACCACGCCAGTCTCTCGACATTCAGTGTTGATAGAGTCGTCTGTAGCTTGTGTCTTCTTAGTGTTCACCAATGAGATATGCAGGCTTGTCAAGTCCGAATAATGGAAACCATCAGTGGCAGTTACTTTTAACACACGTTCTTCGCTTCGCACATCGGTCAAGTCGCATGTTACCGATAGTATGCCCGACGCAGTGTCTATAGCAAAACAGTTGTCTTCATTGCCGGACTCTACCCGGTAGTTGATTATGTCACCGTCGTCGAAATCCACCGCTGACATTGTCATTATATCTTTGCCGATAGCGGTAAATCTAGGGAGTTGAATTTTGCAGTCGATTTTCTCAAACTGAGGCCGGTTGTCGTTGACGTCTTTTACTTTGATAACTAGTTTCATTTCCGTTTGTCTTCTGTACGGGTAACCCCAGTCCGAGGCTCTGATGTGTAGCACATACTCACGCCTCATCGTCTCGTAGTCCAAGAGTTGAGTGGTTTTTATGATGCCGGTGAAATGATCAATGTCGAATGGCACTGGCTTTAAATTGGCTATACTATAAGATATATAACCGTTTTCACCTGAATCTTTATCACGCGCTCCGATTTTAGTCACAAAGGTACCGGCCGTTTCGTTTTCATTTATTGTCACCTCCATTTGATATTTTTCAAATAGAGGGTCATTGTCGTTGGCGTCGACAACGAATATTTTCACCTTTGCAGCCGATTGCTTCCTGCTGCCGACATTACCTTGATCGATTGCACTTACTGTTAAGGTGTAAGACGACTTGTGCTCTGCGTCTAATGTCACAGCAGTATACAACATACCCGTCCGTTTGTTCATCCGAAACTCACCGCCTTCGTTACCGCCGACAATTTCTAAAAACACTTGAGCGTTTTTGCCTTCATCTTTGTCAGTAACTTTCAACTTGATTACTGGCGAATTGATCGGTGCAGTTTCAGCGATGTTCACCTCGTACAGTTCACGTTCAAATACGGGAGCATTGTCGTTGATGTCGGCGAGTTCAATGTGAATCGACTCGTACGTATCTCGCTCTGGTGTCCCGGAATCGACGGCCCTCAAAGATAAATTGTATCCTTTGGGAGCCGTTTCTCTATCCAACATGTTTAGCACGACAATGTTATATTCTCCATTGCGACCCGTCTCTCGGATTCTGAAATGACCGTCGGGATCACCGTCGACGATTTCCAAACTGCGAATAACACCGTGTAACCCTGAATCTCTATCCGTCACTTTAATGATTGCATATATGTCACAGTTAGACTCTTCTACCACGTGAGATAAATGCTGTACGTATATTTCTGGGCTAAACAGATTAGCTTGCAAAATATGGAATTTTACTGTCGCCGTACTCGGTCTAGAGAGTCGTTTGACACCTCGATCTTCGGCTTCAACGATAAAATCGTAAGACCTTCTCTCTTCGAACTTCAACGGTCTAGTGATTGTAACGATACCAGACCTCGGGTGTATGGCAAACTGGTCTGTCCTCTTTTTAAAACTATAGTAAACCTCGCCATTCACTCCAATGTCAGCGTCTTCGGCGGACACCTTAAGCACGCTAGAATGGAGCGGCGTGTCTTCTGGAATATTTTGTTCGTACACATCGGGATAGAAAATTGGACTCAGGTCGTTTAGGTCTAACACCGTCACGACTACATTGGTGTGCAATTCTAAGGAAAAGTTGTTTCTTTTTTTGTCTTTCGATTTGTCGGCCGATGTTGTGATTGTGGCTTTGACCTCCAAATTGTGCTTGTCTTGGCGCTCTCTGTTTAGAAACTCGTAGTCAGTCTTCGTCCGGATCAAAAGGAACCAAAAATTGCCCACTTTCTTTTCCTCGGCTTTGAAAAATTTTACTTTTTGTTGAGACGCTAACTTGTACCGTACAACAACATCTTCGTCCGAACAATATATGCCCATTTTTTCTTCCGTACGGACATAAGTTTTAACGATGGCATTTTCTGGTATCGTCGCATTATACAAATCGCGAGTGAACCGTAAATCTGCTAAGCTGCCATTTCTTAACGAGCAGCAACAACTCGATATTAAGAATACAAAAATCAATGCTAGAGGATTGATTAACAGTGTTTTGTACCCTGTTTCCATGTTAGCCTTTCTGACGGAACGCCTTCTGTCACCTCATTGCTGTATTATGTTCATGTAAAGGCCCGCACATTCTTCTGCAAACAAATAAAACAAAGTTCACCATTAAAACAGTCGACAGATTTCCGATTTCTAAGGTAATAAACTAAATTGTTATCTTATATTGTAGACCTAGTTTGTCAATATTATATATTAAAACATTATTATTATATATCAAAACAAAGATTCATTAGATTCCTAATATACACGTGATAATACTATTTTATGTAAATAGCGAGAATAATGGTGGCAGTTAACGCATACCGACATAAGATAATAATCGAATGATTACTAGAGGGGTTAGTTCAAATTGCTGAGAAACACGATAAACACATTACGACTCAAGAAAGCCTGAGGAGTGCGACAATAAACATAACTTAAAACTAGCTTACAGCTGTAAGCGTAAGATAAGAGCTAGATGAATCCTTTAATATAAATTTAATAAAAAAAGGGTAATAAGATAAAAAACAAAGGTTTTTAAATAAAATAAGCTCTTGGTTTATAGTAATTGTGTTCATTTTGCTCAGAGGGGTTATCTGGTTAGGTGTGCATGTTAATATTAACATATTATATGAAGAGATACCCACGAACACGAAAACAATGTTATCATTCATAAATATACTTGTAATTCCTGCTTCTCGAGCAGCTGTAGTTGAAGAGAGTAAATGCAAATTTAAATGACCTCAGCAACCGTGTTAATTAGAGAGTCTGCCATTGTAAAGTTTTTTCGGTGTGTGGTTAAAAACCATTAACTTGTATTTATTCAACGTAATAGAGTGCTAGCATAAATATTGCCAAAAATTGCACCGAATACCTTCGTTAATACGTTCCAAATTAACAGTACATTTTTACGCCTACATTAGTTATGTACGCAAATAAGCATCAGCACAAACATGAAAATTACAATCGCTATTATACTGTAGTTATATTAGAGATATTTTTTTATAGTAATTGTATGCTATCATATTTTATGATCTTAATATTTCAATGAAGTTTTCTAAGTAAAAAATTTTAATTATTCGAAACGAATCCAGGGAAGGAACAAAATAATTAGTATTGTGCGTCAGAATTTTTAATAGCTTTGATAAAATAAATCTTTATTAATAATTTAGTCAGTTTCTAGAGAGATGAGTTGCACGAAAGTATTTATAGTAAAATAAACATGCGTTTACTCTTAAAAAATGTACAAGTTTTTTCCATATTATTATAATTTATGTGACTACTTTCATTCTTTTGGACCTCAACACACATACGGGGTAGTATGTGTGTTGAGGTTTTGAATAATATGTATTATTATGACCGGGGTAGGTCATAATAATACATATATCATTGCTGTACAGGGAATTACTTCCCAGTGCGCCGGTGGAAAGAAGCGAGTGAAACTTGCGCTCTTCATACTTGGTCAGGCTGCCCAATAGTCGATCATTTTTAAACTGCACATGAGTAGTCCCAGTGGAGCCATGGAAGTAACAAAAGTTTCATATTGCGTAGGTAATACAATACTGGCGTTAGATAAACGTTTGATCTGAATATACACGTTAATGCGAAATGTACCTGTATATTTTACATTTTTAAAAAACTTAATAATAATTGCTAAACTGTACGTGAATGTGGATGCATAATTATGATGCTCTTATCAAAAGTTGTTTTAAAATTATTATTGTTGTCGAATTATTATTAATACAAAAAGACGGCGGCAATAAATGGAAAATATTTCCTTCTGATAGCGATTCAAAATACGACAGTCTACTGACGATATCTTTTCGCTGCAGCATATGGTTTGAAAGAGGCAACTCGAAACTATATTAATCTGATTAGAATACGATTTCTTGGTATGTGCGGAATTCGGTAAAGAGGATTTTACAATATTATTGGTCTCCAGCATAGTTTCTGCGAAATATCAATATTCATCTCATAACATTACGAAATTGTTTGCATTAAATTCGACTTATTGAGATATATACAATTTAAAAATAAATCTATAAACTGAAACGATTTTTGAAGAAAAAAAATAGTTACAATAACGACTTAAATTTTTACATTTCAAATATGACTTTGTTAAACATTACGTATACTATATATTACTATATACAATAATATTGTTGTAATAATACATATCAAAAAGTTATGAAATGTTTATTATGATTTCCTCGATGTACCTACTATGGAAATACATATGATATCAGTTAACTATCTTGAATATAATCGGAAATCGGCAATGTAATCAACCGCTGGCCATAGGATATAGACCAAAAGTGTAAACCATGTCGGATACTGCGAAACTCTTTAATAGCTACTAGTTTAAGTACATGTACTGACAATTTGGGCGATATTCGGAACGAGATGTAATGGTATAACGATTTACTCGCAAACACGTATACCTACTATTTGTCCGGCCGGGTTTGCCGTTAATGAACTATAGGGGTATAGTTATCCCTATCCATATCGTATCCGTTTTACTTGCCGGTAGACCGTAAGTTTCTCGTCGATAAACTTATGTTATTAAATCGCGAAACAGATATCGGAATACCCTTTATGTTGTTTGTGTGTGGCAGCGTTTCTCTTATAAGCGTAGATTATGTTTTAATTAAAATTCAGCCACCGAATAAATATTATATTTGTGTAGGACCGACCACTCTCAATAACTTCAAAAAAAGTTATCCGAAACTGGTTATCGATCAGTCAACATTTTTAGTACATTATTTTCAATTTAAAAAGTTAATAATATATATATATACGTTACCGTTTAAGTTTCACTTTTACACTTACACGTTGTTTTTTATTTTTTCAGACAAAATATTATGTATGATGTGCAGTAGGTTTATGCGCCTTGGCAAATAAACCAATATATTACAGTGAATTGCAGAGAATTTTAACAAAAAAAAAATATAAATAAGTATTCACTTGACATATGTATTGCCTACGGCGTTATTGTACGGTGTTTTAATCAAAATGCGATGTAATTCGGGTGTGCTGTTGAGTGTACGAAATAAGTAAAGAAGATTTTGGCTTTTCGCACAATTACTCGATTAAATACAATTATGATTTTCCCGGAAACGCGGTTAAAACGTGTGTTAATTCCAAGTAGCAACTCGTTATCTCTTACTTTTGGGCCATACTCGCGAGCGCCTACCGTGTGTCTTCCAAGCAGCTTTTTCATTACATTAAACGACAATAATAATACACGAATAAAACGGTAATAGCTACCAAACACAGTACACAACACCGTTTCAGAAGTTTGGCGGACTAAGTCATTACTTACTACAACGGCCCTGTTTAATCGTGCTTTTGTGCGTCTGTTCGAATACTCGATGACGAGAAATGCACATTCAGCACTAGCCGTTTTATAAAAATATAGTTTTAGTTTATCTATAAATTCAACAGGAGTCAAAGTTTTATCATTAGAAAAAAAACGCACGAAAAAACCCGGTAGTTTAAACACGAGAATCGATAATATAATCACACTTGAGCGTTCTTAGTATTTGTCTAAAACAATATTTTGTTTCACATAATAGCCTATTATGGTTATTACCACTTGAAATCTACCTTATATCTGTAGTTAATATGATAACTTATTTTATAAGCTTATCTGTTATGCATATAATTGCATAGAGCAGATTTTTTTATGCATGTACATAAAAAAAAAAATACTGGTAACATGAAACGTATGTTGAAGACTACTTGGTGTCGCAAATTGAATTTTGTAGTAAATTCGTTTGCTATCGTTTTTAGATTTAAAACAACAGCGTTTGTATTATGGTACCGTATCGTTGAAGTGTTAAGTCTATTTAGGGGGAAAACTTATCGGTCGAGTAACATAAAGTTTATAATATTATAATGAGGGTATAGCAGTCCGCAGTATTCCAGATAAACAGTGATTCCACAGAAGGTTTTGAACTAGAGTTCTCGGTAAGGTTGTAAGTATCAAAATTGTTCAATATACTCGCCTTCGCCTCTTCATGTAAAACGGATAACTCATTTATGTATTTAGTAATAAACATCAAACATTGAAACTATGAAGCGCATTTCGCCTACACGTCTTCAAAAAAGTTTTGCATCGTTGCGTGGTGTGCTTTTCCAAAACGGGTACATTGTAAAATCATATTTAATAAAGCCCATATTAACTTTCAAATTAAACAACAAATAAAGTAGTTTTTAATTAAAACACTTAGTAATAACTCAACAAAATAGAAAATTTATTAAATAGTTTTTAAATTAATATTGTCCAAGTGGCCCAGTCATTTTATAGTTATGAAAATTAAGTTCAGCCAACCAAATCATCTTTCTCCAGTCGCTGTACGGTGTACCTCTACTTCTAAACCCCTTTTAAAATCTAAATATTTCAATTTCTTCCCTTCTATTCGAATCGCTCAAACCTTAAATCTCGACGTTCTCATTTCAGCTACTTCCATTTTCCTTTCATCTCTTTTGTGGCCGACATTCACTTCGACGCACCATTGCTGGCACAATCACATCCAGATCATACTAAATACGTAAATTTCTCTGTTCTAAATAACTATATACTAATATAAATAGCAACAACAATAACAATAACCAATTCATATTTTCTACAATTTACAATAAGTACTTTATTTTTATTTGCGAAGGTATTTCAATGAAATTGCGGGTATTACGATCATATAATGGATATTATACTTGGTGTTCCATCATATTATAGAAGTCTTGTTGGGCATACGGCCGACGTGCGCGTGTCGATGCGCGAAGGTAAGTGTAATTGGGCGAAATCGTATTTTACAGCGGGCCGTAACTTTGGCGGATTATAAAAACAAACAAAAAGGTCGCGCCCAACTTAAGTTCGGTAAAGCTATTAATCGGAATCTCGCTTTGATGTCGTAATTACAAAACTTAAATAAAACACGGGAAAGGTTTTCTCTGTGTTCTGTCGCCGCCAAAGTGCGCAGCGATCATCTAATAAACGGGATGGGTTCTGTTGAAAAGAAAAAAAAAAAACGTCTCGTTTACAATATGATATCATTATTGTAGGTACTCGGGGCGCCGTTAAGAAGCGCAGGCTATA